TGCATCCGATGCCGGCATCCCGTCTTCCAGGTTCCGTTCCCTGCAAGCGTCGGGACGTACGGGGAATGGAACCGGCGGAAATGTAAAAATGTTAAAAAGTGACATTCACTAAATACACTAAAATCACATAGTATAACATTCCTGTATCAAACCATTTCACATACATTTTGTCCCGAGTGCTTTGTCCGGCGCCCTGCCTGCATTTTTACTGTCTTTCTGCCTGGAAACTGAGAAACGTCCATGGCGTCCAAAAAGCGTCCCTTTAGGTCAAAAGCGGTTTTAGACCGGCTTGAGAACAGCGATAGTAAATCAGAACCACTTGCAGAATTGAGTGATAATGATTCGTGGGGGAAATTCGTCATCAGACACTGAAAACAATTCTGCGACTGAGCTCAGCGATGTGCGAACTTGGCGCTATATTTCAAATTTCAGTGTTTTTGGTTTGATTATATTATTGAATTAAATTTATTATTATTCTATTATTTTTTTTATGATTATTTATTAAATTAAATTTATGATTTCGTGTTTCAAATTTTATCATACCCAGGAATGTTTACTAGACTCTTGTTTGGACAAATTTCAGTCAGTTATTCCTAAAAATTACAGGCCTACAATAAAAAAACTACATATTTCCATGAAAAAAAATGTACCGCTTTGAGCACAGAAATATTGACATAATCAGACCACTAGGGAGGTTAAAAAGATTTTAACAACTTTTATTAAACACTATTTAAAAAATAGATTGATACAATACTGTTGAAACAATGATGAAAGCTTGGTTGTATTGCTGCGGTTTGGAAAAGTATAATTTCCCTACATGTTTCGCCCAACAAGGGCTTACTCAGGGGAAAAGGCTGGCCATACACTAGTAGATTTTTGAATGAACGTTCACACAAATCAATGAGCGTATGTTAGTTGAAAGTACATTTGTTTGCCCTTAACATTCAGTTTTAGAATTGAATGTAATTTCCCAAATGAAAACCATATCCATGTTAGAAATTTGTTGGAGAAAAAATTGCCACCCTGTTCCTTTGAATGTTCTTGCTATTGCGGTCGAAAGCGAATTTTAATTTGACATCTGTAAAGTTTGGTTCACACTGATGCAATGCGGGAAACGCACAGAAATCGCTGTGTTTCTCGCACCGCATAGCAGTGGCACTGTTTTCATGCAATTTGCTGCATGTGTCAATGAAAAGTTACCGACACCCCAAAAACAAGTCGCAGAACGCATTACGTTTGCCTGGATCAGATCACACTGATGCAATCCAGTTCCAGTGCGGCAATAAAAAAGCTGCTTGCACCTTTTTCATGCGGATGTGGTGCAATATGAGCCATACAAAATAATAGGCTCAAATCTCACCACACAAAATTGCATGCGATTTGCACAGGAATGTAGTGCGATTGAATCACATGCGATGTTACAGTGTGAACCGGGGCTAACAATTAGAAACATTTTGAGCAAAACTCTACTAGTGTATGACCAGCTTTAGAACATGCTGCTTTTAAGATGAGATGGGATTGTATTGTCGGTGGAAGCTTGTGAACCTCACCGATTGATCTTGTTCCTTCATTGCTGACTGACTCCTGAATTCTGCATTTGTTTGCCTACAAGAAAGGTGTGTTTTTTCTTCTGCACTACCCTTATCTTAGCATGTCATTTTACTGTGTTCTCTGCAGAAATGGGTGATTGCGGAGAAAGAAGAAGACCTTGAAAGTCTATATGAGGTGAGTGGCTACCCATTGTAACATTACATTGGAGGTGTTTCCTGGGTTTCTGAATTATGTAATTACTGTGATTGAGAGCCCGATGGTGACCATGAGCTGATGGGGACACTGCAATCAATATGCCAAAGGTGTTGAGCATGTGTGCTCCCAGCTGTAAACAGTGGCACCAGATGTATGCATATATGTGGCAGCACTTTACTGGCCCACCACTATGCTGCCACATACAGGTGAAACTCGAAAAATTAGAATATCGTGCAAAAGTTCATTTATTTCAGTAATGCAAATTAAAAGGTGAAACTAATATATGAGATAGACTCATTACATGCAAAGCAAGATAGTTCAAGCCGTGATTTGTCATCATTGTGATGATTATGGCTTACAGCTCATGAAAACCCCAAATCCACAATCTCAGAAAATGAGAATATTGTGAAAAGGTGCAATATTCTCGGCTCAAAGTGTCCCACTCTAATCAGCTAATTATGCCATAACACCTGCAAAGGGTTCCTGAGCCTTTAAATGGTCTCTCAGTCTGGTTCAGTAGGAATCGCAATCATGGGAAAGACTGCTGACCTGACACCCTCATTGACACCCTCCATAAGGAGGGAAAGCCTCAAAATGTAATTGCAAAAGAAGTTGGATGTTCCCAAAGTGCTGTATCAAAGCACATTAATAGAAAGTTATGTGGAAGGGAAAAGTGTGGAAGAAAAAGGTGCACAAGCAGCAGGGATGACCGCAGCCTGGAGAGGATTGTCAGCAAAAGGCCATTCAAAAGTGTTGGGGACTTTCACAAGGAGTGGACTGAGGCCTTTGTTATCTTGTCTTGGAACAATAAAGCTTTGAAAGGCTAATGTCATTGAAGAATGTCCTGATTGTTTGTTGACTTCTTCTACCTGCTAGTTTGTTCACCTTGAACAAGAATGCAGCCAGTGAAGCTGGAACCTGTATTCTTGCTGCAAGTCAGCCACTTTGTAAATAGTGAAGCAAGTATGACAGCACCTGAAGCCTGGAGTCAGCAGTGGCAGCTTCCAGGTTTATGTCCAGACAGGTGAGAACAGCAGATCAGAACTGTCAGGTTTTCTGGGGTTTGTGTTTGTAGTGCCTAGACTTTATGCACCGTAATACACGGTGAAAAGAAAAGATTCCACTGTAAAATCAATGTATCTTCCATAGCTGGTGCCCATTGAGTTAATTCCTCAGCTGCTGGGGTGATCCAAGTGTTCCATGCACAAAGCTGAACAGTGTTGTGTGTTACAGGTGCCTGTAAAATATGGTGATATTGGTGTTTATTTTACCCCGGATGAGTGGGACTATATTGAAGCGCACAAGGAGATGTACATTGACATCATTCCCGACCACCCTCTACTGACGGAATTCCAGCAAGACTTGGCTTCAGGTATTGTAGGGTCAGAAATAACATCTACCACAGTCACTTCTGCTAGACCTTCTCCTGTGCGCCCACACCTGAGACACCTCAGTCCTTTCCTGGGTGGGCTTCCCACTGTTCATTTAGTGGAAAGCAAATCCTCTCCAGTCTTCTGTAGAAGATTTAGCTGCATTTGATGCACACATTGAAATGTTCAAAAATATTATAGGTAAAAAGCTTGGTTCTGTACCCTAGAACAGCCATTCTCAACAAGGGTTCCTCCAGAGGTTGCTGGGGATTCTTTCAGCACTGGTTGATAGACGCCATGTTGATGGTGCCTGCATAGTTTTAGGGTCAACATGACTTGTCAGAACTGACAGCAACATCTATTTAATGTGGCCAAACACCTCTCCCATTGACTACAAAGGTAAAAAAAAAATGTGAATGACCAACTACATGAACATGAGCCATCCAGATCCCAGATGTCATTGTTGCAATTTACAAATTAAAATTTGGGAGCTTTTCAGCACTATGTAAATAAATAGCTGTGTTCAGTTGTACAAGGTATACGCAGATACACTGATGAACCCACGTGTAGTGGATGAGTGTTTGCCCTGGGAAATGAATGGCTGTAGGCAGCTGTTCGTGGGTTTATAGAGGTAGTACTATACTATAGTATAGTGGATTTATGGTATAAAGCGAACAGGGAAATGCCCGTATGCTATATGCGTGATAACATGAGTACTATCGTAAACTCCCATTCATTTGTGCAAGCAACACTCGTGATTCCTGGGTGTGGAAAAACACCCAAATAGTATGTTTTGTGTGTGTGTGTGTGTGTGTATGTGTATATGTATATATATATATATATATATATATATATTCAGGCAGCCACTGGTTTCAGTGCTTTCAACTCACCCCCGCAGGATCTGTGAACCCCCTCCCCTGTTTTAAAGCTGCACTGTAACAAATAGCTACTATCCCAGTGCTGTTTTAAAACTGTGCTAGAAAATGAAGTGTTTAACCCCTTGGCGCTGGCGCCTCCCAGCCCTTTAAGGGTTCCAGAAGCTGGGAGGTGGGGCTTTAGGGTCATGTGACTGCCGTGATTCGCTGTCATGGCGGTCACATGATCAGGAAAGGTCCCGTTCGAAAGAGGAGATTGGGACCTTTCCGTGAGCACCGAACGTGTGCTTGGAGCACGCAGGGAGAGCGCTCTCAGCACATATGTTTTTTTTTTTTTCATAGAACGCAAATGTGCGACTGCTCGGCGTCTAAGCCCAGACGCTGGGAGGCTGCACATTTGCATTCGGCCGGCGCAAAGAGGTTAAGGGACTTGTTCGAGACGGACAAATACTGGAAAAACCAAACTGTACAAAGAACTAGAGAGCATTTTTTGCACAAGTAAAGCAAGTACTAATAATATCCTGTTTCTCCTGTCTGGAGTTCAGCTTAAAATGCCCAGAGTAGCTTCATAAATAAGTGAAAGTTTGGGGGAAAACTTTGGAGTAGCAGCTTCAGCCTGCTGTTCTACTGATGCTGCTGAAGGTTTTAGACATCTTACATACACTGTCTTGTTTCCTTCGTAGGAGAAGAGTCAGCAAGCGAAGATGAGGCAAAACCTTCCCCAGATCATCAGAACTCCCCAGAATGGAAGCTGCAGAGTGACCGTAGCGAGTTCAGCGAGTCTGAACTATCCACAGATGATGCTGATGACTCTGATAGCTCCAAAAAACGCAAAACTGAAGACGCATTTCTGGGGAACCCTGAAATAAAGATCGAGTACTCTGCAGACGGAAGGTCACGAACATTTTGGTGTCTGAGGTGCAACATATCCTTGAAAGATAGACGGGGTTTCCGAAGCCACTTGAAGACACGGAGGCACCTAAATTTCCGGGCTGATGAGGAGGAGGTGATGTGTGAGGACTGCAGTCAGGTCTTCAGCACTCGATCGGCACTCACTAAGCACAGAGCAGAGAGTCACGCCAACAAACGCTACGCCTGCACCATCTGCGGCCTGGAATATGACTACATGTCTCAATATGTCATACACCAGAGGGCGCACACTGGGGAAAAACCATTTGAGTGTGACAAGTGCGGGAAGAGGTTCGGCCACAAGTGCACTCTGCTTGTTCACCACAGAAGGCACATCAAGGGAAAAACTGTGAAATGCGGCACATGCGGCCGGTTGTTCGATACCAAGTCCCAGCTGAGCAGACATGAGAGAATTCATGTGCCCAAAAAGCCCTATAATTGCCCTGTGTGCGGGAAACAGTTCGAGCAGAAATCACTTTTCACAAAACATAAGTGGGAGCATGAGGAGGAGGCGAAACGAGCCCCGGAGGTGATCAGACAGGCACATGAGGATAGCTTAGCACCAAACTCTCCTCCCACTGACGTCCTGCAAGAAAATTGAGCTGCAGAAGTGCAGCTCAACAAGATTGGACACTTGCCTTTAGATACAGACACTTTAAAAGCTCCACCTTTAGCAACATGTTCCATATTAAACCAGTATTTATGGTGTAACATGCTGCTAAGCACCTTAACCCTCTCCCCCTTAACCCTCTTCTTCCTGTGACAGCGAGCGGGGGTTCTTTCACCTGCAGCCGCTGTCACATTTAAAATCAGCACGGCTGTGCATCATTCATTCACAGTCAAACTACAAGTCCTGTCTGCCACTGCAGCAGATGGACTTGTAGTGCTCAATAGACTACGAGTGCACTTGTAGTCTATTGACACTTACCGCTCAGTAACTGAAAGCCCGTACAGAGGTATGGGCAGAGAGCAGTAGGAGGTGTCTGCAGGAGCCTGACATTGCACCCGCGATCCACTGATCGTGGGTGCAAACTTTGCAGGCTCTGTGTAAAAAAAGAAAAAAAAAAAAAAAAAACATTGATACATGCACATTTTTACCTGCAAAAACGTGCATTCATTATATTTTTTCTTAAAGGTAAACTCAGCCTTTAATGTCTTTGAAAGAGAGATTATGCATCAGGCCGTATGCTTAAATGTGGCATGGTGTCGGACCTTATGCCATGCAGTCACATGGGCATTCAGCCGGTGTCGCTGTGGTCTGCTGGGAGAGAGCTCAATTGGCTCCCCCCAGCACTGTCACCATGCAGTCACTGACAGTTCCTGGTCACCTGGTAATGATTGGGATCCGGCAGGATGGCACTTGATCACTATGACAGCCAATCACATGATCGGAAAGCCCATGTAATGCCTCCGGCCTTACACTTTTTTATAGGGCTGGCTCTTGCTGACAAAGGAGGTTTATTGAAGACTGCTGGCCTAAAAAAAACCTTTTCTATAGTTTCCAATGGCAGAACTGTTTAGACCGTAACCTCTGGATGTTGGTCATACACATACATGCGGCCGCACGGCGAGCTGGTCTTAATGCCGCGTGGCCACATGTATGCGGCCCTGTTTAAAACCACTTTCATTAAAACAAGGCTCTCTCTGCACGCTCCCAGCACGGTAGCCGATGGGGATGGGTAAGCTCCCGATGCATACTTGCGATCGGGAGCCCTCTGGTCATGTGACCACTGTGACAGCTAATCCCAGCAGTCACATGTTCCAAATACCCACCTCTGCCCCCCCCCCCCCAGCTTTTAGAACTCTAAAGGGCTGGGAGGCAGTCAGCATGCAGTCAGCACAAAGGAGTCAATGGACAATTATGTTTTTGTCCCTAAAGGTGGGGGCTGCTAATATATAGATCACTGGTCTCCAAAACCAGACTCTAAAAAAAACGTGCATTGTTGTCTGTGCCCACTCCCTGTTGCCTTCCATGACATACAGAAGAGGCGTGGCCAACCATGGCGCCCAATATTTTTTTTTTCTTCCGTCTTCCACTTTTTATTAGAGTTAAAGTCGGTGCCTGAACAGGGACCTGTAGCACCAAAGACTGCAAGTCCTGCCCATCCTTGGCCCCTCTCTGCTGAAGTGCCCATGGAGGCCGCCTCTTCTGCCTTCCCTCTAGGCCTGGCCCTGGTTGAAGTTGTGTTCTTTCATTGAGGTTTTGTTAGCTGTGTTACATTGAGTTCAACAGCTTGTGGATTCTAGATGGTTATATACAGTTTTGTTACTTGAATTTGGATCTGTTAAATCTTCCTATGCCGAATAGCCTGCAGCCCTCAACAGTGACAGTGCTACATCTTACACATCCATATTGTGCTTTAAGGACTTTATGTTTTTGTATAAATAGGAGAGATTCCTCCTGGCAGAGAGCTTCCTGGTGAATGACATTAGGCACATGCTTCTCTCCCAATGTCTGTGAGACAATGTTCTCACTCTTTTGTTTTTGGAAGTAGACGCTCTCACTCTTTTGTTTTTGGAAGTAGACGCTCTCACTCTCTTTTGAAGTAGACGCTCTCACTCTTTTGTTGTTGGAAGTAGACGCTGCCCTTTTTATTTCCTTGTTGTGGGATAAATTTCAGGATGAACCAGAAGTGCAAGTTTGACGTGCCCTGCTGCAGATCAGAATGCAAGTGTACAATCCAAACGCACACGTTCCTGCATTAAAAATGTCAGTGTGTATAAGTGGGTGCTGCAGCGACCGTCGGCTGGAACCGAACAGAATCAGCAAGGGAAAATGTCACCAGCACACCGAGGATCACCAATATGGGACCAAACGTTTTAATGAATGATCACATAGTTACAGCAAGGCAACGTTTCGGAGTCTCGCAGGATCCCTGATGAAGGGGTCCTGCGAGACTCTCCGAAACGTTGCCTTGCTGTAACTATGTGATCGTTCGTTAAAACGTTTTGGACCCATATTGGTGATCCTCGGTGTGCTGGTGACATTTTCCCTTGCTGCTGCAGATCGGGTCATTTTTGTAAGCAGTTCCTCTCCCAAGCTGACTCCTCAGCTGTCCTTCCAGTGCAATTTACGATGCATTTACTTGTGTTAAAAAAATTTTGGGGAACGCTCACAGCACCAGTCACATAAGTTACCTTTTAATAAAGATTATCCCATGTTCTGCTGGTTCCTCCCTCCAGGGACACTCGGTACAAGATCTTTCAGCACTGCAGGCGTAAAGGGCATTGGCTGTGACTGTGAGGGATCACAATGCTCACCCTCTCTTCCCTGTCTATTCACAGAATGCCTTGCATTCTGGGAGAGGGATATTAAGAGTTTTGTGAGTGAAGGAGGGGACAGGAAGGGGAGGGTGAGTGTCACAATCATTTACAGTTGCAGTGCCTGTCATGACTGAGATTTTGGGAGAACAATACTAAGATTTTGTCAATCGGGGAGAGGACAAGAAGGGACAGCGAACAGCGCAATCTTTTACAGTCACAGTTGCTGTTTTTAGCCCCCACATTAGCAAAAGTTCACCACTGTTGGGAGTATCTGTCTTCACTAGAGGGAGGAATTTTGCAGTAATCTGCAGCCAACAGGACATGCGATATGTATTAAATCCCAGTCCATGTCACTGTTCACAAGCAGCCTGTACTTTCCTCTGTCCCATGTGTAACAGCCAGATGCTCAAGCCGAGGAGTCTGCTTGCTCTCCACTGCACTCTGCAATCAATTCAGAGGGGTGGCACATCGATGATATATCTTTGATATGTTGAATCCACTGACATCACACAAACTCTCCTGCTGCCATCCACGCGTTTAATGCATTTCACCCATGATGGGTCTTAATCATAGGGATACCGTTAAGGGTGTGGCTTCTGGAGGGAGAGTTGTGTTGTTTGCATTGTTCCTATATCAAACCAAAAATATTTGGTGCCACATCCCAAATCAATGGTATTTTTACAAAAATGGGGAAATAACCGAGACTTTAAAGCACCCAATGTAAACACCAAAAGTTATATAATAAACTTTAAAAAGCTTTTTTTTAATGTCTAAACATTAAAAAATTGGGCTAAATCAGCTTCACAGTGGCGTATACATCAACATCGTAAAAGCACATGAAATGCTAATGAAACATTATTTGAATCATATCTTCAGCGCTCCAAAAGGAGAGTATCAGATGTACAGATATGAAACTCCTATATCTGATGCTCCCCAATGAAAATATGATTCAAATAATGTTTCATTAGCATTTCATTTGTTTTTACGATGTTGATGCATACGTCACTGTGAAGCTGAGTTAGCCCAGTGGGCGATCTTTTAATGTTTTGACATTTTAATAAAAGCTTTGTAATTTTATTATGTAACTTTTGGTGCTTACGTCGGGTGCTTTAAACTCCCAGATATTCCCCCAGTTTCTATTTTTATGATACTGTTATTAGTAACTTATGTGACAGATGCTATGTTCCCAAGAAAAAAAAAATTATTTAATTCAGCTTTAAGGCATCATTCTCATGGGGTGTAATAAAGCATATGCCTGTGGCCGGCCATGTCTACCCACAGGGGGATGCACACGTGTTTCGTACACCCCCATGTATGCAGTCCCATTGACGTCAACTGAGATGCAGTAGCTGCACAGACACAGATGCACCTCCCAATCTGACATTCGCGCAGGTACAGGCCCTAATGCAAACAAGGTGCGTTCAGGGCCGTGCACCCACACAGGTGTCAGATTCGGAGCATCTGTGTCTGTGCAGCCGCTGCATCTCATTCGACATCAGTGGGACTGCCTGCACAGGGTTGCACGGAATACCTCTGCAGTTGAAGAGGGCTCTCCATGTTCAGATGCTTTAGCACACCCCGTATGAACAAGGCCTAAGGCAGCCCATTTATTTGTTTTTTCAACACTGCGCACCACAACATGATGCGTGCATTAAAGTTGTGTTGTTTTGTGGTTTGTTTGTTTTTTTTAAATGCTGTCCCCCGACTACCACAATTAAGTCTCCTGAGAAATTGCAGGGGTTCAGCTCGCCTACATTTGGTGAGAACAATCTTTCATGATCACTGTGTCTCCTGAAGGATTTAGCAGCAGTTGCGGAGACCTGGAGAGGTTTAGGAAACTCGTCGTCAACTTTTTTGATCCTGAGCAATTTGTTTTAGTTTGCCTTAATGTTCACACTTACTGAGACTGTCGGGATCAGCTTCAACATATGATGGAAGATGTGCAGATTCTCATTTGGCATTTGTTGATATCACAGCTGTTATATTAGAAAATAAATATGCAAAATGACCCTTTGCCACAGCAGTTAAGATTAATAAATGTTTGCGTTATGCATGATGTCTGTTTTCTGGATGTTTGTTTCCCTAGAGCCAAGGAAAGATCAGATTTGGTGGCATCAGGTGTGAATAGGAAGCTGTACACATGTGGAGACAAGTTGACTGATATTGGTGAAATAAATTTTTTTTATCATATTAAAGGGTTACTAAACCCCGGACCCTGCATTCACTATATCTGGTCTCCCCAGACCCTGCATTCACTATATCTGGTCTCCCCAGACCCTGCATTCACTATATCTGGTCTCCCCCCGACCCCGCATTCACTATAATCTGGTCTCCCCG